TTCCGGTCATCGCCTTCTGTAACACGGATTCGCCGCTCCGTTACGTGGATATTGCCATTCCCTGCAATAATAAGGCGCCCCACTCTATTGGACTCATGTGGTGGCTGTTGGCCCGGGAGGTGCTTCGCCTGCGCGGCTCAATCACTCGCGAGACGCCCTGGAATGTGATGGTCGACCTCTACTTCTTCCGCGACGCCGAAGAGCAGGAGAAGGAGGAGCAGATCGCTCTCGTGCCCGAACCACGCGTTAAGGCCGACACCACCGATGCCTACAACGCCGACTGGAATCCCGAGCCCGCGGCTGAACCGGAAGCGCCTGAAGTTGTGGCGCCGGCGGCTATTGGAGGACAACAGGACTGGAATATAACGGCCCCCGCAGAGGACCAGTGGGCCACACCCGCCGCCGCCGCCGCCGTTGTTGACGACTGGGGCGCGCAGACCACTGACTGGACTACATAGACGTCTTGTCTTCCGAGACATTACTATTATGTTATAGTAATTGAATGACTTTTGAACAGAAAATAAAATGATTTTCTAAAGAATTTGATGTCTATTTTATTTAATTTTTAGTGGGGATATGTGTCTATTTCTTATAAATAAGATATGTTAACATTTAGACCTCATAATTAAAGTTTAGACACTATGTAACGTAATAATATCGGTTATTACCGGATGTAGTGTATAGTAAAGTTAATGTGAGCTAATATTATAAACGGAATAGTAGTTGGCGACAAGTTTATAGTCTAATATAGACTAATACCTGTATTGCACGCCTTATGAATGAGAAGTTTGATTCAATGAATTTTCTAGAACTTCTAAAATGATCACAATTTTATTTTATAAGGGTCACAATTATTATTTGCTATTCAATTTGTGTTTAGATTGTCAACTAAATGCAAGTCTGTAACAGTACTACTAATTATCTAATTAGTACAGTATTCGTCGCACTGTATTAGTGTACGGAATAAAGTATTAATAGCAGAATACAGAATATTTTCAATACAGTATGAATGTAGCGTATATTATGTGAAATGACAGCATTGAATACAGTATTGTAAATGTATTGCAGAATCACGTGACAGTTAACTGTATTTACATTGCATTTACTGTTAGTTTGATTTGAGTGTTGATTGCAATCGAAACCCACTTAACACTAAAGCAATGCATTGGCTTTGTATTGAAAATATGTGACAATGGATTCAATCAATAGTTTACAGTTACCTTGATAATTGAATATATATTTAAATACCTGTTGGCTCCAGAAGAATGAGTCCAACACTGAATTACCAGAAGACAGGCGACCGAAAAGTGGACGTATTCTTCAACAATAATATCATAGATGTTATGAACAATGAGTTATCGATTGTCAACAATAACCTCATCTTCGACTCGATGCCAGACTTGCAGCCAATTCTTGACTTCGATGACTCGGATGACGGTATGGACGAAGTGGACGGTAATATCGGGTCCAATGCCAACGCCAACCAACCCGTGAGACCAACTAATGGCAAGAATGGGAGGGCAGGCAAGAGGTCGGGCTATAAGGCGACGGCAGCGCTGGTCAGACATCAGGGCCCGGCTTTTATCTTCATCGAGGCTTTGGTCTGGAATTTCTGCAGTCATTATGAAAGCGATAAACGAAAACAAAAACTCCTTTTCCTTAAACTCTGCCAACGATTGCAAGACTTCAAACTGATTGGCAATACCTTCA